GTCAAATAGGACCTCCCAAAAATAGACTTGGATCAATGGGGGGGGGGGGGCTCCAATACTTCTAAATAGTTCGATCGCTGCAGCGGGTGATGTTGGAGTTCCATTGGTTCGGTTCAATGTGATTCCCAAGGGTAAACAGGAAGAAGTAACCGTGCCCCAGAAAATGGGTTCAATTTGATATAAGAACTTAAAAACCATGCTTCATGGGTCCAAAAACTCGGCTTCAATGTTCATCGAGATGTCAGCTTTGCAATAAGAACGCGCGGCGCAACTCTGCTCTTTTGCAAAAAAGAAAACACATTGTAATGAAATGAGTACCGGCATCCATGGGAAGCTGACATAGAAATCCCCTCCCCCTCTTCTGTCCAGGTTGCATCACGCATGACTTGCGCAATGGTCCAAGCCGATCGACTCGTGCTCCTCACCGATGACGGTGCGACGTAGGTCCTCGATGCGCATCCCCAGCCTCTCTGCCTCGCCCTTGAGGAGCTCCGGCCAGGTGGACACACCATTCTCGATCACCTTTGTCGTCTCTCGTGCCCTCGCGCATGGCTGCTTCGAGCTCAGTGTCCAATGGGATGGACAACTTAGTGGTGTCGGACAGGCCAGCACCAGAGCGAGGAGAAGGCGAGCGCCTTGGAGCCATGTGTCGCGCTCCTGCCATGGAGATGAAGGGGAAGCTAGGGATTGTGCTCATAGCCGGCGAGTGAATGTGGATTTTGGGATTACTTACGGGTAGAAAGGATAGGATGGAGGTCCTCTTATATATGCCAGTGGTGATAGGAAGAAAATGGCGGGAAGGGAGGCGTGACAGATACCGGGAGAGGCAGTGTGTGGTGGATGAAAATCTATTTAAACCCTTGACTTTTCCCCCTTCATATCTTGGTCCAAGGGGTTGGGGAAGGGGGGGGGGTGTCGTGGAAGCATGTGATTTCTTTGTGCGCTTGCCATTGCTGTCGTTTCGACGGTATTCACAAGGGTTATTTAAACAAATCTCACTAGAACTTGAACTTACAGTTGCACTTTAGTCCTTATTGAACTGAAATATTCACATCAAGGGAACCAAATCCCAAACTTCGTTGTCCACCTCCCTCATATTTGGTGTCAGTCCTCACAAAATGTGACACCATAATCTTTGAGCTTGCAGTCCATGATCATAATAATGATTTACTCTTGTATATCATTTTTAGAAAATCTCGCAAAGCTTTATTACGTCATCACATTGTTTATAGGGAGGAACAGAAGATCATCATGTTGGTCCAACCAAACATGACAGTCACCTCTTAAGTTTAAGGCATACTCTGTTAGATTGCGAGCCTGAAAATTTGAGTCCGTAAGCTCATGATAACAATTTAGCCTAGTAGATTTGTGCCCTCCCAAATAGACGGCGTCACCTAGAGGCTCCACCCACGTCGACGTTCACGAGGTGCCAGTTCACATTCTTTTTACTCGAAAGTCTATGAAAGTTGACGACACCGACAACATGGGCATCTATCATACATAAAAAATATGTAAATTCATTTACACATTGAGAAACAAAGCCAAACAAATTTTCTGTTACAACAACTAATCAGAAAATTATTCTGAGTAGTAGTCTGGTCAACTGTTAATTGCACATAACTAAAAAAACTATTAATTGCACACAAAAACTCGCATTTTCGGGATATGTAGACAATATTTTGAGTTTTGCTTCAGTACATCCATAGAAACTCTATAAATTTTGGTGCAGATTAAACTTTTCTAGAGGTTTTTAGGTTTTTTATCTTTCAGTTTTTTATAATGTTTTTAGGTTTAAAACAACTATCGCTAAATACGGCCGACGTCGTTGAAATCCTCTCCTCTCTTTGACTCTCTCTCTCTCTCTCTCTCACGACTCACCCGTGACGGCGGCGGCGTCCGGCGGCCGACCCGGCGCCGGCACGGCGAGGAAGAGAGGCTCGCGGCGTGGAGAGGTCCCTCTGCTTCCGCACCACGCGCGGACGCCGCTCGGCCTCGAGATCTCAAGGTAAATCCCCCAAGAAACGCAGCGCCGTCCCAAGCGGCGACTTTTTTCCCCCTCCGGATTCGCCGCCCTCCGCTCACCCTGCCCTGCCGCGGCGCCACGCCGGAGCAACCCCTCTCGGTTCCTCTCCGGCGACCTGCGATTGGATTTACTAGTTTTTTTCCTGTTCTGTCTGTCCCCTATGTGAACCCGTTTCCGGTGGACCTGGATTGCAGATGCGGCTGGTCGGCCTGACGGGCGGGATCGCCTCGGGGAAGAGCACCGTCTCCGGCCTCTTCAAGTCCGCCGGCGTCCCGGTGGTCGACGCCGACGTCGTGGCCCGGGTAAGCCTCCAAGCTCCAGCATCCAACAAATATGCATCGCTTGTTAGATTGTAACTGTACTGTGCAAACCTTTGTTTTGATGATTTGTCCATTGTGTTCTGTCTATGGAGGTATCGATATTTGCAGCCATTGTTGCTGCTTTACTTGGTCCAGTTCAGTCACAGCTACGGTAGTGCTATACCAGAACAGAGTGTCACAATTTTAATTTTGTAACAAGTTCCATATATAGCATGCGGATAGGTTGTGCCCACATCGGCTATTTGTGGACGGGGATAGATGCAATTTTCTGTGATGAAAAAAGAAGATGTTTTTTTAAGCTAGAGCAACATTCACGCTCGTTTTAATTAACTTGCACATTGTGCTTAGTAGAAAACTGTTTCGATTTTACTGCATTGATGTTAATTCCCTTTCCCATCTCCCTGGGAACTGATGGCTAACACTTGTATTTATTTCAACTTGTGGAGGGCAAAGGCATGTACTGGGTCTTACCTTGGGAGTTTTTTTTCATCCCTGATACTACTCCCAGTAACGAGGAGTGGAACCGGCAGTTAAGAGAATGTGATGGTGATGGCCAATTTAGTGATATCCCCTGCTTTATCAGCCGGTGAGGACCATAGGATGGCAACGCATAATATATTCTTTGCTTAACTAAATTACCTGCTGCCACTCACCATAGCTCTCTTGAAAATAAATGAAATATGAAAAACTATATAGCCTTCATGTATGTAACATGTGTATGCTGTAGCTAAAAAGGCAGCCCTCTAGAGAATAGTTCTCATTGTCTCCATGGACAAAGAAAACTCGTGCGTGGTTCAGGGGCCTAGGATAAGAAGGTGAAAGGAAAAGGCAGACGAATAAGAAGCCACACGCCAGCATGCTAGCAACGCTTGGCAGAAGCTCGGCAATACATTGGGTGGAATAGTGGAAGTTAAGGCCTTTAATTCCCAATCCCATGCTCAATCAGCCCCATGGGAGCAGATTGGAGTTATTTGAGGCCAAAAGTCTCCATCCTCTGTCTAACTGGAACTCTGAATCTGTTTTGAACTTATCATCAATATCTTACCATTGCTGGGATATCCCTGGATAAAAAATAAATGGAACCATATCAGCACAATGACTGGTATGACGCAAATGTTATACTTTGGGCCTTGAGACCAGTTACGCACACTTTGCTTTCATGGTTTAGTACTTGAGCTTCAGACTGCAAGCTTGTTACTACCTCCGTCCTAAATTAGTTGTCTTAGATTTGTCTATATACGGATGTATCTAGCACTAAAACGTGTCTAGATACATACGTATCTAGACAAATCTAAGACAACTAATTCGGGACGGAGGGGGAGTACTATTTTAGGCTAATTGTCTGTTATGAGATCTCCCCAGATGCTGTGTAAAATGACTTCCATGTTTTAAAATTTTTGTTATGAGCCTTATGCTGATTACGGGCGCACGCATTTACAGAATGTAGTGCAGAAAGGTACTGGAGGTTGGAAGAAGATTGTGAAAGCTTTTGGGAATGGCATTCTGTTGGAAAATGGAGAAATTGACAGAGCTCAATTGGGTCAGGTTGTTTTCACTGACCCAGAAAAACGCAAGCTTCTAAACCGGTACAACTTCTACTGGCATAAAAATCGCCTTTGATTTTCTTTCTTTCTTTCTGTTATGTTTGCCCAATACATTTTTATTCAGTTTATTTACGTGGCAGTTACATTTTTCTTTCATTTTTGCTATGTTGGCCAATAGATTTTTGATCAGTTTATATACTGTACATGGCAGTTACTACATAAATACTGCTTTCAGGAAACAGTTCCACCTATTTATGGTCTCACATCTTGTCATGTTCTGGTTTCTAGAAAAATGTCATGCTTTGGTTGCATATTCAGTTCATTGTTAACTCTGTGCATAAATATCGAGTTGTGTTTCATACATGGATGATGAAATGTGACACGATTTACCTTTAACAATACTGTTTATGTCATTCCTAAAATAGAACACCAAAGCAAAGTGGGTAGACCAACATACATTTCATTGCATGCTTATACTTTCTCATGAATATAGTCCCTGAAATATTAAGGATTCTTGTTTGACCTACATTTGCCTCGATTCTGATCCCTGACGACATTTTGGTTTCTCCATTGCGTCTACTTTCAGTCTTCTGGCCCCACACATTTCATGCGGTATATTCTGGGAGATACTAAAACTCTGGGTGAAGGGATGCCTGGTTATTGTCGTCGACATCCCGCTCCTGTTTGAGACAAAGATGGACCGATGGACGGACCCCGTGGTTGTCGTATGGGTGGATCCCAAAACACAGATCGAGAGGCTCATGTCAAGAGACAGTTGCGGCCAGGAACAGGCTCAGGGCAGGATCGACGCCCAGCTTGCGTTGGACTGGAAGAAGTCGGAAGCCGACATAGTGATCGACAACTCCGGCTCGCTGGACGACACGAAAGAGCAGTTCCAGGAAGTGCTGAAGCAGGTGTCTGGTCCCTTGACATGGAAGGAGCGCATGATGTCCAGGGATGGCCTTCTCTCTATCGTCGTGTGCACGGCGGCGGGGGTTCTACTTGCTCAGAAGAATCTGCTGTGATCTTTTCACGCTTAGGAAGTTAAGGTAACTAGGATTGGACTAAGATTGATTGGTTGAAAATTTCGAAGGGTCAGTGCAGAGCACTAGGCGAGCACGATTACTGTTATGTCATGTCTGGAGTTATTATACCACAAGTGCTGAATTTCGAGTGAAATAAATTTGTAACTGCTTGCTTGTGCATCTCTGTGCAGTTTTCATAGGATTCATGTTTTATTCTTATCAAAGGAATTACTTGTACAGGTTTGACGAAATTCCTTTGAAAATTGAATCATTCAGTCCCAAATACTCCAGGTAGCAGCAATAACTATCACTATGTAAGAGGCTATTCCCAGGTCTTGTCTATGTGTGTGGATTTTGTTTGCCTTGGAGCCCTGCAACTGGGCATAGAAAATTCTAACATGCTATTCCAACATGCTCTGGCAGATCCTCTGTTTCAAGGCAATTAGGAGCACATAGGATAGTCATAGATTGCAAGTAAAAATGCTTCATCTGCAACATTTTGTATTCAATCTGTTCACCAGAAGTAGCCACATAAAACATAATATTGCGTGCATTATACAACCAGATAAAAATTGCAGAACTACCAAACTCCACTTAAGATCAATGCAACATAATAAATAGAAGATCAGTGGAACATATAAATAAATAAATAGCTTAATGTCATTCATCAACCACCAACAAGCAAACAAGCCCTCTGTTTGCATGAGTGCACAATATAACTTACATCAAGAAACCCCACAAGCTGAGAAACAAACATCATTTGTACAGAGACAGCACACGCCACTCTCACATCTGTGAATAAATACGCAAAGTGAGATGAAATAATTAGGACACAAAAACCCTTGTGACTGACCTCGCTCACGGCACATTCACACCCCGTGTGCATAACTTATTATCATGACATATAACTTAACCACCGCAAACCTCGATCGAAGCCGAAGTCACTCTCATAACTTATGGAGAAAAAGCCTTCTCCCCCTCCTGGACTCAGATTTCACCATGACCCATGAAGCCAAAAGAATCTAGCAGTGAATCAGGTACTGCAGGAGGAAGAAGAAGCAGATGCTGCAACTAGCACACGGCGATGTTGAGCGCCGATAGCTTGTGGGCATGGTTCTTGTTGGGCTGCTTCTTGGATGAGCTTGCTGCAAGATGTTGCTGCTGCTGCCGTGGCTTGCTGCTGCTGCTGTGGCATTTGCAGTTGCTGTCGTGTCTGTCGCGGCTTGCGCGGCAGCAGGGCCTCGTGCTCTCGCTCTCCTCCGATGAGTGCGAGGTGTTCATGGCAGCCTTCTTCCTCCCCAGCTTCGGCGACTTGGGACGGGTCGTGGGCAACTGCAGGCAAGCAAGAAGTTCATTGTGTGAGAGGAATCAATACTACAAACTTTTCAAGATCAAAGCGTTTTCTGAAGACCAATGGACTAGAAAATCGATATTTTTTCGGCATCTACCTACCTTCTTGTATTCAGCCTTGGGAGAAGGTGCCTCATGGTAGAAGCTTGGGATGGGTGTGGCTTTGAATGTCAGGCTTTTCCTGAGAAGCCTGAGAGCCTCCTCCTGTTCCCTCTGCAGATTCATTCACATTGTAAAAAGATCAATGAGAGTTTGCTTATGAAAAAAACTCTTCATCATGTTCAGAGAATGATAATGCATCACCATGGAAAATCCAGAAGCAAGACAAATTACCTTCAACCTAGCTTCCAGCTGAATCCTCTGTTCCTCCATAGCTTGATGTTTCTCCTCCAACTTTGAATAATACTGCAATAAACCATGAAACAAGCAAAGGATGAGAACCTCTCCCCTGTCCCTCGCCATGTCTTGTATCTTTCATGTCACAAAGTAACATATACCTCTCTGCGCTTCTCGGCACGTTCAGTACATCTGAAGACCGGGCTTGACGGGACAGTAGTAGTCTTTCCATTCGACGATTTTCTGCATGCAGAAGATTGTTGAACTAAGCATTTTGGAAGAGACAGGTGATGTAAGCGTGTAACACGTGTGCTCAGGTTGCGAAGCGCATACGAGTTAGTGAGAGTGGAAGCATTCCAGTCATCCGGAGGACTGTTTCTGTTTGTAGCTTGTAGTGGCTTCCTTGTAGTCGCAGACGCGCTTCTCTGTAAGAAATGTGTGCAGGACATACATAAATAACAAGTATAGAATTACGCATGTTGTTATGCTAAAAGATCTTTTATAAAGATAATGGGTAAGGAACTGAAGACTCATGCAAAACAACAGGAAGAAAAGAGAGATTACCTTCATCTTCTTCGTCGAGCTTGTCAGTACGCACTTTGCGTTCTCATAGACATTTCCATTTCCATTTCCAGTCAAGTGCTTGTCATTGGGTAGGTCTGGAGGGTACCCACTAACATCTCCAGGCTCTGACTGAGCACCTTTTTTTGGTTGCACATCTTCCATAGATGTGACCGAGGTGCTATCACTCGCCACTGTTTCTGTCGCTGGAAACGTATCTTGATTCTCTTGTTCGTAAGCACTAATTTCAACACCATGTTGCAACACCTCTCCTTTCTCGACGGTGACAGGAGAGGCTTCATCTGCAGCAGGCTCTGCAGTACATAGAACCATTAATTGTCATTAGGCTGCTCCAGACATTCAGTACAAGATGATCCATCCAGTTGATCAGATATTTAGTACAAGATGATTCATCAAGTTAAACTGAACAATTAACTACAGCAAGCTTACCGTCATTGGTCTGTTCAGCGTGGCCAGTGACCGAGGAACCATCATGCTCGGTATCTCCATTTACATCAAGAGCTTCTAATGGTTCCGAGACGCCATTCTCAGATTGTGCACCCAAAGAACTTTCAGCATTGACAGTGCCCGAAAGCTCCGTTAAATGGTCACCCTTATCATCCGGCGTTTCCATGTTGTTGCTAGATGGAGGGACAATGGAAGAATCCAGCTCCTCTTTGGAAGATTGGAGTACAACCTCAGTACCCATAAATAGTATTGCTGCACAAGATAAATCATCTTTAATAAGTAATTATTGCTATTGATAACTCAATACTATGTATAACATGCAAAAAAGAAATATGCTTTTCCCTTCTTTGGAAGAATTGAAACCGACAACGCAACAAAGAGAGAAAATCTTGTATATACCCTTCACGTGGACACTATAGTTCCTTACCACCTTCCAGGAAAATGACATGCAGGGTTGGGAAAGAATTGATGTGTGGAGTTTGACAACCTATCTGACATGATAACCGATAGCGACCAAATTAGGCTGTCATTCTAATCCAGATCCTCCAATCATTTATGTACTGGTTTGCCGTCGGTATTATCAAACTGAGTTGAGCATATATATAAAAGGAAAAAGTGAAAGCAAAAGGGGAATCAAGGGGACAAAGGGAACGCAACGAATTGACCCCCCTACGTGCTCATTCGAACTAAAGAAAGGAAAGAACCAGGGGATAAGACAACACATGCGAATCTCGAATTGGATCATATATATTTGGTGGGTTCGCGTACGAACGATTATATTAGAATGCTAGCATTTACAATTGGGCAGTGTCCTTTAAGACTCTTGGAACTGCATGCCCTGAGCTGTACTTTTTGTATTAGTTTAGGACTTAGTTGCTATGACCCGTTAGTGACATAGTTAATTAATACTTGGAAGCTTGCAATCATTTGTGATAAAGCATATACAAAGCTTGCTTTACTGAAAGAGCTTGGTCATGCATCGTCCTAACGTTACTATATCTAGATAGCTGATAGCAACAGCCGGCGCAAGGCCAATCTGCTCATGTCGAGTTCAAGCATGCATACAAAAAGTGGTCTACAAGTAAACAAAAAAGCTTTTTAATAACAATTTGCTAGTCGGTAGTTTTGACCGTGATCATCTTATCATACACCACATTCCAAACTAGCGCGGGCTACAGATCCCGTGGGACAGCGACACCGCGGCAACCAAAATCCTGCTCGCACATCGCAATATTATCACACCAGAGAAAGCAAGATGATTAGATCCGACTAAACGGGTCATCCATAAACAGCATTTGGGCTGCAGAAACAGGGATTAAATCTTTGCTCATCCCTTATCTAACGGCGAGCAATCTAACGATGAAGGGAAAAGAAAGAGCCGGGATGGAACAGATCAAGACCATAAGCAAGCAAGCAAGCAAGCAATTCTTGGAACTGCCTGAGCTGTACTCCTCTATTAGTATAGGACTTTATTTGCTATGGCCTATGACATAGCTAATGAATATTTGGAAGCTTGCAATCATTTGCGATAAAGCAACATGATGACAAGCTTGCTATACTGATTGAGTTTGGTCATGCATGCATCTTCCAAACATTGTAGTAGTACTACTAGTACATTATCAAGTTCAGAGAACTGGCCATAGAGGTCAGCAACAGCCGGCGAGCTTAAGTATACAAAAGCTTGTCTAGTGTCTAGAAACAAAAAAGAAAAAACAATTTATGAGCTCTTCAATAACGTTTTGCTAGTCGGTAGCTTTGACCATGGTCATCCTATCACGCACCAAAGTCCAAACTAGCGGCAGCTACAAATCCCACAGGACAGCGACGCCGCGGCAACCAAAATCCTGCTCCCACATCGCCATATGATCACACCAGAGAAACACAAGATGATTGGAATCGACTAGAACGATTGTCCGTAAACAGCATTTGGGTTGCAGAAACAAAGGAGCATATGTGTAAGTAAATCTAGATGATCCCTTGTGCAATGATGATCTAATCTAACGATGAAGGGAAGAGAGCCGGAGCGGAACAGAGTTACAGGGACCATAAGCAAGCAAGCAAGCAAGCAAGAGAGCAAGAGGGGATGCTTGGATAAACCCCTTTGGGAGGGATCGGCACCGCACGGCACGGCACGTACCTCGCGATGATGTCTCCTGGCCCTTTGGTCACCTTTCTTTCGTCTCCTCCTCCTCTCTCTCTGTCTCCTGGAATGAATGATCTGGTTAAGGATGCAGAGGACTGTGGATGTGGTATTTGTAAGAGGAGGCAGGCAGGGAAGTTGGAGCTGGAGGATGTGGAGAAGGTGTGGGTGGGTTCGTTCTCCGTTGGTTTGCAACTTTGTAAGGGAGGGAGTTGGGGTATTAGCTGAGGGGCAGCTTTCGGCTTGCGTTTTGCATGGGGTCCCCTGCGCCCCAACGCATCAGCCGGAACGAGCCAATCATCCACAGCACAGCCGCTCGGCGGTTGAACCGTACCACCACATTGCTATGCTAGCCCGGCCGCTACAGCTGCTTCGATTCTGCTTCCTCGGAGCCCAGCCTGCCCCACGGCTACAGCTTCGCACGCACGCACGGTACGCCGGTGGCGGTGGCGGTGGGATCCCGCCACGAAAGGGCCACGGCAACCGGCGCGGGGGCTGGGTGCACTGTAGCAGCTCGCGGGGTACCGTCGAGGGGGGTGGCCCGGGGACAGCTCCGGCGTCGGCGTCGGCGAGCCCCGTCGATCGATAGGATCAGGATCTCACACGCACGCACGCACTGCACACGCGCGCGCGCGAGGGAACCTGTCTGTCTGTCTATATCTAGCTCAACCATCCAACGTACGTCGTACGTACGTATGTACATTCACTCTTTCAGAAGGGCCACGTACGTTTTTCGTACGTGTGCGGCACTTGATGCTCGCTCGCGTGCATACGCATGCTTGGCTCCGCTCAGTGGTCCAACCAAACAAGTGCATTCCATGTTTTTCATATCTCAAAATTGCTAATACGTCGTACCAAGTTTTACCCATTTGCATATACTCCGGTTGGAATCGGCAAGGGTCCGCTTGTCATGCATGCCCACTTCTTGGTTGGTCACCGGCAATCCGGCTCATAAGCGTAAACCAACATGGCCCACACCACAGTTAAAAAAAAGAAAGAAAAACATGGCCCACATCCCCACCCGTCCTCTCCCCCGACGCGGCGGCGCCGCGCCGCCCCTGGGGAGTCCCCGTCCACACCGCCCTCAAGCATCCTCCTCCATCCCCTCCCACTACTGCCGCCATTGCTGATGACGCCGCGGGGCGAAGCCCCTGTGGTGAGGCGGCGGCGGCGGCATAGTCCTCGGCCGGTGGTAACGCGTGGGGGCAGCAGCGTCCATCTCCCTCGCAGTGCACAGCGGGTTGGCGGTGGCCAGGAGATCTCCGGCGGCCGTTTGACGGATGAGATTTTTGCTGCGATGAGATTTGATTTGGGCCCGAGGGGTTTAGATCGAGATCCACTGCGGCTGCGCCTGGTCTCGACAACGGCAAGAGGAGATCCCCCTGGGTAATCTTCGCGGCGCGAGGACATCTGAGTCTCTTGGCCCGGGCATGGTGGTGGTCGCTGCCTTCCCCACCGAAAGCGGTTGGCCAGGCTGGTAGTGACGGATCTTGGATCACACTATTAGCACCGGCGGCGAGTTGGGGAGACATAGTCGCCGGTGAAAACCGAGCCGACTCCGATCATGGCGGGCGATGGCGGCGTGTACGTCGTTACCTTGATGAAGGTATTGTCAAGCAACTATCGTCAACCTGGTCGTGCAGCTCCGGGAGAAATTCTAAGATCTCTGGATCGGATGATGGCAGCGCTAAGGTGTCATGTTCCCTATTGGGGGCATCGTTTGTGGAGCGGCGCCGGATGGAAAAGGCGTGAGGTGGTGTGGCGTGCCTTCTCTCGCGTCGACAACGGCAGGTCTCGGCGGCATGGAGCAACAGGGTCTCGCCGTGGGCGTGTGATGATGGACGAGCGTAGGATGGTGGCGTTTGTCTGGCGTCATGGTGGCGTCGACGGCAGCTAGACCGGGCAAGGTAGATGCAACAGTACATCACTGAAGATAGATTGGTGGCAGATGGCTGCGGTGGCCTCATACCCGGCAGGCGTCTTGGTTGAAGGATGCGTCGGATTGGTGGGTGCCCCATACCCGGCAGGCGTCCTGGTTGGGACCTCAGGTCTTCGATGTTAGGTTTGGCTGTGAGGTCTGTTTGGTATTAGGCCCAGACTATCAGCATCCCTACATCAACTGGATAGGAGTAGCGACAGATATTGCTTAGACGGTGGCTTTAGTCTTACTGTTGTACTCCCTCCGTCCGGAAATACTTGTCCTAGAAATGATTGTATCTTGACTTATTTTAGTTATAGATACATCCATTTTCAACCATTTCTAAAACAAGTATTTCCGGACGGAGGGAGTATGACTTTGTAAAGTCTTGTGTGAATAATTAATAAAGTGACTGCATGCATCGTCTGGATGCAGAGGCCGGGGGTCCTCCTCCATTTCTAAAAAAATACATCCCCGCCCGTCCGACGCCCAACACTCAGCCCGGTGGCGAAGCCGGCGATCGCCGCCGGTGAGCTCTATCGTCGCCTCAATGTTGTGGCCTCATGCGAACCGGCAAGTCGGGTGGGTTGCGGGTTGGGCCGGCAAGGATGCGGGTCTAGTGGTGCGGGTTGGGAGGACACACCTAGCTAGCTGGTTTTCGCTTCTGAGCTGGCATCCAAGTCACTAGCCATGTCAGCCTGACAAGTGGACCTACCTAGCATGTTAAGATCGAAGAAGTTGTTAAATGGGGTAAAAAAAAACTTTGAAGTTGCAGATTTTTTTTTAAACGTGGCCTCTGAAGATCCGATTCAACTAAAGTGGTAGAAGAGAGTTGCTCGGTTAATTAATGGAAATCCGAAGGAAAACAGTTACAAGACGTCCATATGAAAGGGTACTTGATCGATCTGTCTACCCATAGGACTCACACACACCGCGTGGATGCCCGCCATGTAATCATCATCACCTCTCCTGGAGCAAAGCGACCGTAATTTCACCGTAGGTGACCCTTGAAGACCCCTCCAAATGAACGGTACACAAAAACCCTACTGGTCATTGTCAAACAATCAGCGACACACATCGATGACTAGGCAGCTCCGACTTCGCCGACGAGTCTTGCGGGAGAAAGAAGCGAACCTTGCACCAACATGGCCGACCTGCTCATCACATGGCATCGCTGCCGCCA